GAGCTGTCAGTTTAAATTTTGACGCCCAATTCAATAACAAATTAAAATTAAGATTTGGTTAGTGTAGTTTTATCACGTATCTATGAGGCCCTGAAATTGTTGAATTAATACTTTATCTTACAGGTGCTCCTATTTATTTTATGGAAATCGTCACGCCTTTTGAATAACTTATTATCAAGAATGTGTGATATAAACCTTTGACCCCTAGAATGACTAGCATTTCTCTTGATAGTATCACCTACCGCTGAATCAAACATTATATAAGGTCACATGAATTAGGAAATGACCATTAACTGAAGAAGCTCTTGATTTTCAGACAAATTCTCTTATCAGCACCTTATGGAATGTATAGAGAACAGTATGGAGAATATGCATACTGATATTAGGGTGTAAAGGGCTAAGGGGGGTGACATTATACCATTGGAAATAAGGTAGAGTCTAAGTAATTGTACATTTTTGTTACTTCTCTACTCAATAATTTTACTCAATGATTCGATAATGTACAATTTAAATTGGCCACCTTAACCCTTTAACTCCCATGAGTGACTGAAGCAGAATTTCTCCTTACAATATCAGTACAATATCCAGCAGATAACTAATGAGAATAAAGAAAAATATTGATTGATGGTTTATAGTTGATCCAATACCAAATTCTCCAAACTAACATTGCAAGAATTATATGGCAGACAGTAAGGAGAATTACTAATGAGATCATGGGAGTGAAAGGGTTAAAAGAGTTTCTAAGCTGGTGTTTCAAGCATTTAATCCTTGGTCAGAGCAAAAGACAAAGGGCACACTCTTGGAAACTCTTTGAGGTGGCTAATTTACATCATTATTCAGTTGTTAAAACCAAACTGTCATGTTAATAATGACTGCCGTTATTTCAGACACCCTCAGGGAGAGATTTAGTGTCCATAAGAGCAAGGGTCCCTAATAACGGGGTATGAGAGACAAGAAATTGTTTTTTGTCTAAACATATGAGATAATATGTAACTATGCAAACATAAAGTTACTAACATGGTCTCATGAAGTGGAAAAAGATCCAGCAGCACCTAATTGAAGAATGGTTTCTTTATTTACCTATATCCTAATATCAAAGTACTTTATAGGTGTTTGCTGTAGCGAGAGAAAAAAAAAATGAAATCTTGGGCTGGAGGGCATGAAAGTGTCTGCAGTTCCATAGGAACAAGAGTTGGTAAAAATGGGAATTTATTTCAGTCATGTGTGTTTCACAGGGGGGCTTAATGCAATACCACAGTTTCTTTAAAAATTTACCCCCTTTATTCATTTGTATTTGATATAATGCATATACTCCTTTTTCTGTAGAATCCCAGTGCCCCAGGAATGCATAACATAGGAAGTTCGCCAAGTGACAGCCATGTGAGGGTTTCATACAAAGACAACCCTGGATTTTTTAAGCAAGTGCAGGAAAGCTTCTGTGCATCCCTGTTTGGAATTCTTCTTGTTATTGTTTCATTTCCTGTGATTTATTGGAATGAGGTGAGGATGAAAGCTCCTAGGGGCAGTATATTAAGTAGTCCATTTTTAATACGATACAGGAAATCAAGAAGTACTAAATTACAGTCACTGGAATAGTTATTGTTTATAATTTTGTTTTTGTTTTTCCTCTGCATCCAGTGTTGTGGATGTAACTCTGCTAGTGCCTTATGAACAAGTGAATGTTTATTTTCAAATTACCAATACAATAATCGAAGACTGATAGTACAAAAGAGCTTAACCCTTTAACCCTTAAGAGTGATTAGCAACTAATTTCTCCTTACAATATCATCCTGGAATCATACATCTAGGTTACGAGAATAAAGGAAATGATCAAAGAAGCTCTAGATTGTTAATCAAAAATTCTCCTTTTCAGCACCTTAGGAAATGTATAGAGCATGGTATGGAGAGTTTGTTTGCTGATGTTAGGATGTGAAGGGTTAATAAGGTGTAAAAACCTGCGAAGTTACTGTAGACATGTTCTTAATACAAAAGAAATGATTACACTTCACTTGACAGGGAAGGGCTGTTCAAACAGCTTTATCATTGGATGAGGGTCTGAAACAAGTAGTCCATATTCATTACATTGACCAAACTAGTCCTGAATATCAGGATAAACTGGTTCACCTCTCTGGAAGTCTTCAAACAGATAGGGTAAGAGTAATATATTTTCTTCCCTTGAGTCTGTCTGTTGCAAGACAACTTAAACACCCCTGAGATCTCATGGCTGATTTTTCAAAATGACTTAAATGATTCACTCCTAGGATCTGATTATTAAATCTCCATTCTTTTTGCTGTTCATTTCTATTACTTATTTTTTTATCTGAGAATTTAGTGTTTTAAGTGTTACTTCTGGTCACCTTTGTGCTTAAAAATGTATCGGTATTGAAGGAGAAATGCATTTTTGGTCTGGATTAGGGTGAATGGTTATCAAAACCATAAAAAAAAAAAACAACTTTGAACAAAAATTTTCCTACAATCCATTGCCTAACTGTTTGGTAGTGTTGTCAAAAATGATCTTGTATACCAATCTTAAGTAGGGGTGGGTTGGGGAAGAATAAGTGAGTTTCATGAGACAACATCTTCAACTTGGTTATCCTATCTGGTGTAGCAGGACAAACCTCTTGTGTTTTACAAAGCCGTATGTTATCAAATTGAATAATAACTTTGTAAGACATTGTTATGGTTCTCATCTTCTTTTATCATAACTATAATATATATTATCCCAAATGCTATAATTTTATACATAACATAATATTATAAATCATACTACCAGTTAATATCATTTTTAATTACTATTCTGGTTAGGCACTGAGTGATTCAGACTATGGCATTGCAGTCAAAGCTGTCAAACTAAGACGAAAGGTTGAAATGTATCAATGGGTGGAACATAAACACACCAGGTATTAATCAACCCTTGAACTGTCCTGATCCAATCTTCTTTTTGATTCCTCCTTCTTCATGTACATGCTATTCTTTTCCTTTTAAATCAGTTAAAAAATGTATCAGTGGTGCACTAACTTGAGGCAATAGAGTTCCATTAAGTGAAAAGCTTCAACTGAACTCATCACCAGTTTGCCGATAAATAAAGACATAGTGAAACTGTGAGAACAGTGTCACTTATAATAATTTATTTGTGGTAATTGAACCAATTCTGTCTTAAATCATATGAGGGATAAACAAAATGTGATGGCCTAAAGATGGGGGTCTCATTTGCCATTCATATAGTACTACATAATATTTATTGTTGTAAAATATTGATAAGAATGTTTTCAAGGTATCACTGAAATTTCAGGGAATATGATGAAGGAGAACGAAAAAGAGTAGAAACAACCTTCTCGTATGGTAAGTTTGATGAAAGTGGTGTTCTTATTCCAAAAGTTAAAAAATAATAGCAAAAAGAGATTTTTTAACCAACAATTGATTGCTAGAGAGGCAAAGCAACTCTCTCTGAATAATTTAGGGAATATGACATATTACAGGTTCAAATTTAGGACATCTGTTGAAATAAATGATCAAGGAAATTATGAAGGAGAACATTCTCATGACTGAAGATGTGCAAGAATCTATGTGAAACATGTTCTAGTCTGACTGTAATATAATTAGTAACAGCTTGTCTTTGACAAAAATTATAACTTTTTTTAACAATCCTGACCCAAAATGTGATCCTGAGTCGCCTGTTATGGACTGCTGAAGCTTATCACATAGCATCAAGTGACTAAAAATATTTCCACTCCTCATGTATGGCATGTATGGTATCCTAGTCTTTCTTGAGTAAATTCCAAGTAATTGGGATTACCACCTGTCAAGTCCCCCTCCATGCCTAGGATAAAGATAATTCACTTGAATGTGAAACCATAGGGTATTTCCCTAAGAACACTGCACAGTAACCTTATCAGCTTGGCTTGACCCTGGTCCTTTCAAACTAAAGTCAGGCACATAGTATCTCTCAAAGTTGCATAGTTAACTCCCGTGAATGACCAAGATAGAATTTCTCCTTACTATATCTATACAATATCATGCAGTCAAGTGGAGAGAGTTCTGGAAAAATATCAATTATAGGATTACTA